ACAGGTAGTGGAACAGGAACAGGTACAGGTAGTGGAACAGGAACAGGAACAGGGTCAACTACAATTGCTAGTAAATTAGCAGGTGTCAATTCTAAATCAAGTTCTCGACGAAAACGACAAACACAATCAAATTATGGTGGTATATATGGTTTGCCTACAACTTTTGGTGTTACTCTACCACAATCTTGTTGTACTACCGATCTATCATCGACAGATAGTTTATCTAATTTATGTAAGTAACACAACGAATGTTAAGATTTTAAAATATTTAATCTATTATTTTAGATTGTATATCAAATGCTAATAATTCGGCAAACAGTATTCATACAAATGGATGTTCGAAACTACTTGGTAAATTTGCTGTTGGTCAAACACTTGGTCTCGCTGTTATCAATAGTTTTCTTGTTGTTCTCGGACTTGCACTCATTCCCGTACTTATGGAAATGAATTCTTCCAATAATAATCCTCAGAATGCACCTTTTAATCAACCAATGGCTCAATATAACAATCAGCCATATCAATATCAAGCCAATGAATATCATCCAGATGTGCAATATAATAACTATGTTATGTAACATATACCTAAGAAAAAACATTTTAAATTGAAATCTACTAATATCTTCTATAAACATGTATTATGAAGTAAATCGATCTTAATCGCGCAAGAATTTTTGAATTTTGTAGTTCATTCATTACTATGTATTTGCATTTTGTTAAAATATATACATACATATAATAGAGTACTAATTTTGCAACGATAATATCGATGTACAAATGACATTGTCAATACATTACATTATTTTGTAATAAATGATCTTGAAAAGAAGGTTGTTGTACCTATATTGTTAGAACATATGATGTCTACCAACAACTATTTTAAAGTACATATCGTTTGAAAATATTAACGAAAATATCAATCACAAAGCAATTGAGTCTATTTTATATGATCATCACTATACAATAATTGCTGATATTCTAACAGATAAAATACAATACTTCCTAGTTGTTTAAATAAAAGTTCGAAATCATATTACTTGTTTTTCTAAAAAAATGCTTTATCGATGCTCTAAATTGAATATATGACAGCAGTATACTAATGATGACATAAATTGTGTTTATTGATATTCTATTTCAATTATTAATCAATATGAATAGAAAAAAAAATCGTCTTCTCACATATTTGAAATTTAATCTTAAAAAAAACTACATAATTTGAACGAAAATCAACAATACATTAGAAAAAGATGAAAAGTTTGATAAAATTTATTCATTGAATTTCATGTTTGATCATATTTGATTTTTACTCTAACATACGACAGATATAAAACACAAAATATCTAAGCTAATAGTAGTTTTATATAAAACATATGACTTCAAAGATTAAATGTATTTTAATGTTTATAATAAAAGCAAGTTTATACTGAAGGTCGATTGTATACATGTGCGTCAATATTCAAATATGAGTAATAACAAAAATACATCATCACTTTCATGTAGTCATAAAGTATACGTCTTTTTATATATTTCTCCATTCATGCGTTACATAGTATAATATCTGTTTTTTTACAACACATTCACATTTGATTATATTTCAACGTGTTTACCCTATTGCTGGTATATTGTTAGACGTAAAAAGTAATTAAAGTCCGTTGTGTTGTTATTATTATTCAATATGGCAATTAAAGATCGTCTTTTTCCACTTACTATTATGGCTTTGATACTGGTATTTTCATTGATTCATTTGGGTGTTAGTATTGGTATTAT